ACGCAATTTGATAGATACGTTGATTAATATTCTTCATATTCGTATACTAAATCAATATAATAGATGAGATACGTATAACTCAATGATATTGTAATGGGTAGATGCAGATAAATAAAAGTTTCTTAGACTTACTTTTCATGATATTGATGTGACGACAGATTATTATAATATTGTTCTTCGAAAGTTCATTTTCATTATTTCAAAACATTTTGTGGGAAAATGTAATGAAAAATCCTTTGTCTCTAAGATCAAAAAAATAATTTGAGAATTTTTACGTATAACATTTATAACAAACGTATTTTTTTTTTTTTTTTTTTTTTTACCTCCTTCCGCATCTCGAAGGTCCTTAGACACCTTCGGATCTCTCACATCTTTTAAAGGCCAGAGTTTTCGTATCTGCGGAGATCACCGGTATGGCGAATTGGCCACCTATGTGTCACCGTACTGGTGAGATAACTCATGCTCCATTAAGTACGTCATATGACATCCTGGGTCCCTGGTGCCGTGGTGTAGGATCTACGTTCTCTAGATCCGCAGTTCCCTAACTTCACATGACCCACAAGCCGGATCGTCCTTTTATTTCTGATATCCTTGATTCTATTAAGCTGGGTTTTTCTCAATTTTAGCGTCGTTTGTTGACGAATTACGCCTTATCTGGTCGTCCCCGGCCCTGTAGCTATGCCGGCGGACTGCAACTTGTACGAATCTTGTTTTTCATTTTTTTAATGGAAAATCCTCCAAAGATCTTAGCCAATCGTGGTCCTAGCAGAGCCGTTTGTCACCCAGTAAACTCGAACTCGCGACCTTGCGATTGTGACCCGGGAGCGCTAACCACTACGCTATCGACCCACGGGTCTATAACAAACGTATTTAGTGTTAGCGTTAGTAGATTAAATACTTAACAGTTTAGTCATATGACTTATTTCAGCATCCATTGATGCCGAAATACTATGATGTATTTTAAGCAGTAAGATGTGGCTTCAATAGTATGATTGCATCAGATCAATTATCAGATTAATATTTTCGTATTAAATCATTACTGATTGTATAGTCAATTAAATGACTTAAGTTTATAAATACGTTCAAAATGTGAAATATTAATTTATTAGTTTTCTTTGAAGTTTCTTCGAATAATGAACTATTACTACATAAATGGGCTAGCAAAAAACGTATATAAGCATACTTTAGATACTGCAATGTTAATTCTTTTCATTCCAAGAATTGAACTTAGATGAATACGATTACCCTTACAATGTGCAAGTAAATACTTTGAGACTAACAATATTTTTTCGATTGCACGTTATTCAGGTCTCCGGAAATTATTTTGACTTTTTTAAACTTCAATCTCTTTATATATAAAGATATCGTTATCGTTATACAAAAGTAGTAGCAAATTTCCTAAATTATAAATCTCAATAGTTCTAAGTTGCTACGTATTGAGAATGACAAATTTGTTTGTTTTGTGCACTAACGCTAATGTGGGACACAACGTACGTACGTGCAAGTAATTTTTTTTTCTAATTCCGTATTACTTACTACCGTCCGTACGATTTACGTACGTAATAGTGTATTGTTTGCTAGGCAATTTAATCACAACGTAGAAATTATCCAAAAAAGATGTGGCGTTATAATTCAAATAAAATCGTTAATAATATAATTATTGAAATGCTGTTTGAAAAAAATAAAATTTTTTGTTTCGGGTTTAGTTTTTTAATCATTCAATAAACATTTTGCTTATTGGAAAGTATATTTTATATAACCTATTTTGAATTTCTTCTCAATAACCAAATGTACTCTGCTATACTGCTTTATATTTTAAATGGGTTTTTTTTATTTTTTTTAAAATTGGAATTGTATTTTATATAACAATACAATTAAAAAGTACTAAATGAATTATTAAAAAAGAATGTGCCAATCACGCTAACAAGAAACAAGCATCTTCATAATCATCTTTTTGGCCAAAAATTAAATTTATTAAAATTTGATTTGTATTGCATATTTGAGAGACTTATTATCTTCATCCTCACTATTTTCTTTGAATAAAGACTACATAGTCAATTATTCCATGTAATGTCATGTAGTTTTATTGCATATTTTACAACTTCTGAATGCAAATTTTTATAATAACTCATTATTTGAGGAAATTTCTTTTCAAAATAATATTTTGATAAACTTAAGTCAATCAGCAATGGTTTAGTACAAATTGATCTGATGCAATATACTATTAAAGCCAAATTCTTATATTAAATACACGTCATAGTATTTCAACATCAATGGATGCTGAAATAAGTCACATGATTATACAGAAAAGATAAAATTGATGACTAAATAATGAAATAGCAAAAAAAAAAAAAGTTATACAATGACAAAATAAAGCTAACCTAACGCTAATGTTATATCCAGCCTGCCGGGTCTAACTTGTTAGAAGTCTCATTAATGATTTACGATCTAAATTAGCTAACTTTTCTGAAGACTGACTACTATTAATTGGTATAAGGGGATTTTCTATATTTTCTGTTGACAGCATTCCCATTAGCACCGAATGATCAACTAATTTTTCTGTTAAATTTTCATCATATATCAGTTCAGAAGGACTTTAATTTTTTCATTGACTGCTCTCCATATATTAGTGAAGAAGGATCCTCTAATTTTTCTGTTAACTCCTCCCCGTATATTAGTGTAGTAGGATTCTCTAAATTTTCTGTTGATTGCCATCCATCAAAGCTATAGCCTGTTAATGGAAATTGATTTGGTGATTCTAAGCCAAAAATATTGTATTCTGATGGCAAACTGAAAAGTTGCTCAAATCCTTGTGGATAATCAAATAACACTTCATTGTTTTTTTCGGAATAAGTTTTTTGTTCATTAATTATTTCGCTTAACTCTTCAGAATAAATTTTCTGTTCGTTATTAATTTCGCTTAACTCTTCAGAATAAGTTTTTTTAACACGATTTATTTCATTCGACTCTTTTGATATAGAGCTATCCAAAGGAATTTTAAGAATTTTTTTCAACCTGTCCGTTAGTAATTCATTATTTTCGTTAGAGTTGGACTTTCTTGTGTCATGTGCTTCTGATGTTAATTTTTTCCTTTTATAGGTGCCCTTTAAAGTATTAGCTGATCTTTTCTTATAAGTATATTTAATATCTTTATTCTGTTTTTGATGTTCTAATTGGAGATCTTTAACTTTTTGTCGATACTCTTCTCTGAGTTCATTATTTATTTTACTCTACAAATCTCCAATATAACTTGAAACTTGATGATTGCTTAATTGGGGGAACTTGACCTTAACAATATGACATATATCATTTCGAAATAGGATAAAGCAATTTGGTGGTTTTTTTGCAGTTTTTTCATTTAAAGATGAGTCTATTTTCTGTATTCAAAATAAATGCCGGGATTTTTATATTTAATCCAGACAGTTCCTTTATCATTTCATTTGAATTTATGGTCTTCTCATTATTTCGTACTAAAACTGATGAATAACCACTTGGAATAAAAACACTAATTCCATGAATTCCCTTACTGCTTTCAATATTGGATATTAAGTTTGTTTCTTCAATTGGTGTAAAGATATCAAAATTCATAATCATTTATTCGATTCTTTCTCTTTGAAATTTTGTCATCTAAATAAATAGATTTTAAAATAATGCGAATGAATTAGACAATTAATTGAATTTTTATATTCAAATGACACAATTCACTTTTCTTCAATGTTTTTGTGACAGGCGCTGGACTCAGGTAGAGTGTCCAGATTATGCGTTTTCAGTGATTTTTCTATTGTGAAAACAATACATACCGAATTGAAAACGCATAAGACTGACTCAAGTTGATGTATAGTATCTTACAGAGCGTGTGACAATATCAAATTACAGTTTTCGTTATTAAAATATATTACTAAGCAACTAAAGTATTGTAGCAGAGTAGAAAGTGTGCCAATCAAATATGAAATAAAAATTTTAACAAAGCCGATTCAATTACGCCCGGGGCGTTAATGATTTTAAGTTAGATCTCGTGAATGACATTAGGCGTCTGTCACTTGTGTCGATTTATCACTTATAACGATTAATTGAAAACAACGTTGAAAATCAGTACAGAGTTCGAACAATGGCGATAAAAATATATGGTATTACTAAGACCCGAAGGGGATTATGATAGAGATACAAGGATTTGACATATATTTAGGATATGTTATGCTTCTTAATTCAAAATTATATCTAGTCACTCCTAATCTTAGTTGAAGACAATACAGCAAGGCAATCTTAATCGTTTCTCAAGTTACCTGTCTTTCATGGTCTAAAGTAGAATATCTATATAGATATATTTTTATATATTAATAGTAGTTGGCTCAAAAATAAATATGCTTATACGTATAGGTGTTTATATGCAGTCTTTATTTAAAAATTTTGTTCACGTGCTTCATATGCTAGTAAATTCATTATTGCATTGTTGAGAATATTTCCAGCTAGTAAAATTCGCGTTGATTGATTATTTTATAAACCTGCGGTTGTTGGGTGGTCTATTTCTGTATTTAAAATATGTACTGGAAGTTTTATATTTAATACAGGCAGTTTAGTGTGTTCAGATTATGCGTTTTCTTCGAATTTGCTATTTTTAAACAATACAAACCGAATTAAAACCGCATAATATAGCTCTAAAGTAGTTCTTTTATCATATTTTTTGAATTTGTCTAGTACTAAAACTGATGAATTCACTTTTCTTGATCAAATTTGATTATATTTATACTGTATTATTATTTTATTAACTATAAAATAGTTACTCAGTTAATACTAATTGATCTGATGCAATCATACTATTAAAGCCAAATTCTTATTACAAGATTAAAATACGCGTCATAGTATTTCAGCATCAATGGATGCTGAAATAAGTCATGTGATTAGACACATCTGATGTCAAGTGTATTATTAAATTATATTCAAATAAATTCTTAATTCAAAATTGTTTTAGCTTGCAAGTCATTCTTTAACCCTTTTAATTTAAAGTTCTGTATTGGCTGATTTTTTGATTTGAGCATATTAAGAAGCTTTTTAATATATTAAAAAAAATAAATAGTTTTTAAAATAATGCAAATGAATTAGACAATTTATTGAATTTTTTACATTCAAATAACAATTCATTTTCTTGTAATAGGTGCAGGACTCACGTTGATGTATGTTATTAGATCACGATTTTTATATGACAATACAACTGTTATTAAAATTTTTGTTATATTCCTAGTACCGGTACTAAGCAACTAAAGTATTGTACAGTAAAAAGTGTATGAATAAAAATTTTAACAAAGCCGTCGCATTATTTGAATTACGCCCAGGTGAATTACTTTACTTATAAAGCAATGATAACAAAGTATGACCACAAGGATTTTGAAATATATTCAAGGCATATTATGCACTTTAATTCAAATTATTTATATAAATATCTTACCCATTATTTGATTCTGATGTCATCGGCCACCGTTTATTTTGTTGATCGGAGTAAAAAAGTGAGAGTATAACAAGCGAAATCGAATTCAGACATATATACAAGATTGGATACTTCTCTCACCTTATCTATCAAATATTTGTTTAAATGGACTAACAATAGTATTGAAAAAATTTCCAATATAATATATAAGTAATATTATTGTGACTGCTTTGGCTAGTTGGATCAAACAGAATTGAAGGTTTGGACCAATTTCAATCGTTAGATCCATTTGAAAGTTAGATGAATAAAATTTTATCTAGTATATATTTATACTAAATAAATAGTAATATTTATAATATAGAGTAAAGAAAAATGCAAGGGTTTATATAGATATTGTTTACTAGTAAAATACACGTTCTTTAATAAAGGTTTTCGTTATGGACTATGGACTCTGTTAATATGATCATGTTTATATCTCTGTAATATATTGTAAAAAGTGTGCCTATTAACAATGAACAAAATTTTAACAACACTACAGTATTATCGTGAATTACACGTTGTTATTTTGTAAGAAAATGTAGTAACTGTAATACAATTGACCTTTTGAATCGAAGTATTATATTCGGATGGAATTTATCAACTATGTCCAGTAGATGTTGATAAAAATTTAGATAGAATCAAACTGTTTTTACTAGCTATACACGTGACAAACTCTCTAAATCAAATTTAATCCAATCACTGATTTTCATATAAAAATTTATGATTGTTTATTGAAAAATCTATGGAATAATATCAGAATCTCTAATGCTTAAAAATAGAATACAAAATGTGTTGAATTACATTGCAATAAGATCATATAATTTTTATGGAATTTAATAAAAAAATAGAACAAAAATAGTATGACTTAAGGAAAATTTGCCAGGAGTGATTATCTGAAAACATTATCGCTGAAATTGTTGTGACGTTGGGAATTAGAATAAATTATATTTTAAAAATATAAGATAATTCAATATATCAATATCTGGATCTAAAATAAGATTTTCTACATCTGGGAACAGCCCTCTATTGGGTGCAGATAAAGCTGGAATTGATAAGTATTTTCTAGCAAGTTTGGCCATCGTAGAAAACAAATGTTTATTATCATTCTACCATCTTAAAGGATTATTTTCTTCCGTTACAGCAACTGAGGTAATTCAAAATACTTGTCAAATTCTGTTTGTACATTTTCTTGAATAAATATATGAAAAAATGCTAACATTTTCGAATCACTATTTATCGTCATATTTGAATTTACAGGTTCTACAAGTTTCGTAAATTGTTCTCGAAGATTATTTAAAATTTGGCCTCGCAATTCCTATATTAAAAGAAACATATTAATATATTTTTATTCTTAACGTTAAGACACTAAATAGTTAAAAATATTTAAATTTACACTGTCAATAAAAAGCAACTTTTTGAAACGAGGATCAAAAAAGGATTCATATAGTCCAAGAGTTGAAGGCGCGCCAAAATTTTTTTTAATATTATCTAGTATATTTTCTATTATCTGCCGAATGACATCATTTTTAGGTTGATAAATACTAAGATGTTGCTTAAGATTTTCAATTGCTGGGGTCACGAAGCTCAATGCAGGATATTTTGAACTTTTTAACATTTCAGTTAATTCATAGAATAGATTTAAAATAAAGTCAAGTTCTCTACAAATCTCAAATTCTTCATCAGAAAGTATACTTTCTTTTAGCTTTTCATCTTCCCTACTAACACCTAATAAATTGTTATTAAGAGTCATATATAAATATCGAATTGAAGGTTGTAGCATTATTAAGTGGCGAATAGCATGATAAACAGAATTTTTCTAATCGTAACCAGAAAGATTCAGAGGTTAGGACAAGGATACCTCCCTCAGTTATTATCACATAAGTTGTAAAAATATTTGAGTAACTCAATATACTACCTACAGGTGTTCTGACTAGTGCATTAGCTGCTACAAAGGTACTTTATTACAGCTATTTTTTACAGTTCTTGGTGGTTGGATTTTAGCTCTTATAGTTGGGTGGAAGTTTGCTTTAGTGTGCTTTAGTTGTATACCCGTGATGATTGGGTCCGGTATTCTTTGTATAAAGATGTTGAATGGCTTTCAACAAAAAACTAAAAAGGCATATGAAAGTTCTGCTCAATTTGCTTGCGAGAGCATTAAAAACTGTTGCTACACTTACACTTGAAGAAGACATGTTAAGAATTTACCACAATATGCTTGATGAGCCAATGTGTCAAGGATTTAAGAATGCATTTTTAATTTTAATTATTTTTGCTGTTTCTCAAAGTGTTATTTTTTTAACAAATGCTCTAGCATTCTGGTATGGTAGCAGGTTAATTATTGTCGGTGAATATGATATTCAAAAAATGTTTATTGTCTTTGTAGCTGTTATATTTGGTTCAATGTCTGCTGGTCGAGCACTTGCATTTGCACCTAAAATAGCTAGAGCAAGGTCTGCTGCTGCATCTATCATGTCACTGATTGAACGTGTTCCTGCGATTGATACTTGGTCTAATACTGGTAAAAATGTTAATATTATTGATTGGTATATAAAATTTACAAATGTACACTTTTGGTATCCAACTCGACCTCATACTTCAGTACTAAATGGTATAGATCTAGAAATAAAACCTGGTCAATATGCTGCATTGGTTGGTCCTTCAGGATGTGGAAAAACTACTATTAGTAATTAAATTGAATGATTTTATGATATAACTAATGGAAAAATTGAAATTAATAGAATAGATATTTCCACCTTAAATGTTTGTAATCTTAGAGAAAATATTGCATTGGTTAGTCAAGAACCATCTTTATATGATATGACAATTAAAGAAAATGTGATTTTTGGATGTCGACCTGGACAACAAGCAACTCAAGATGATGTTGAAAATGCCTGTCATGAAGCAAATATTCATGATTTTATAATAGGTTTACCTGATGGTTATGAAACTAATGTTGGTGGAAAAGGAACGCAACTTTCAGGTGGTCAAAAGCAAAGAATTGCAATTGCAAGAGCACTTATTCGAAATCCTAGGATTTTATTATTAGATGAAGCAACATCAGCACTAGATTCTGGTTCCGAAAAGGCTGTACAAAAAGCTTTAGATATTGCTGCCAAGGGCAGAACAAGTGAGTTTTACTGCATCTCATATATTTTATGTTTAGACTTGAATGAAATTAATTAGATTTTTTTTTTAAAAAAAGCATCCAACATGTGGATGTTATATTTGTGATAAAGGATGGTAAAGTACATGAACAAGGCACACATCAAGAACTGTTATCACGAAAGGGAATATATTATACTATGATACAAGAACAAAATAATAATTAATCAATATTTTTCGCACAAAACAAAACAGCCCAATTATTCATTTAATTTTTAATAGTATTAATAATCATTTAAATGTTCGTCAAAGAAAGTTTATTGTTTCTTCAGTTGTTTTAATTATTTGTTTAGTTTCCTTAGGAGTTTTGGGTATCTTTCTCCTTTTGATATATCCTTGTGAGAGTTTTTCTTTTTGTTGAGAGATTTTTTCTTTTATTTCAGTAATTTGAAATATTTGTTTATTCTGTAATGCTTTAAGTAGTTTCTTAAATAATTTTTGAATTTCGTTAAATTCATTAATTTGATTCTGTGTTATTTGTCTCCAATCTTGGTTCATCTTAACTAGCAAATTTTAAAAAATGATAATAACCAAAACGTCATGTTATATATTAAGTTGTTTTGCTTGTGATAACAATAATAACTCTTGTTATTTAAGCTAAATACCCTGTAACTTTAGTTATTTAGTTCCTTTTTTATTTTAGGCTGTTCAAAGTTATTTAGTTATTTCATTGGTAAACATAAATATATTAAATTGCAACGTTTTATAATATTAAACAATAAAAAATTGTTGATCCTATTTTCTAATTAATTTAACATCATGAAAACGAGATTGCAACCTCTATTTTCGAGATACGTACTGTGTATTGTATTATAAATCAATTTGATTGGCTAATGTATGTGTGGCCTAATAGCTTTACTTTTCTAAGCTACAATGTATGATGTCTCAGCCCCACTTCAGAACGAATACGATTTATAATATCACGAGGTAGAAGTCCTGCTATATCTTTAAGTAATGACGCAGTAAACTTTACAAGGTACAATCCATGCACTTTGAATGTTCTATAGAAGTTAAACAAGTTAAACAAGTTGGATCATGAGAAATCAGCCTTACTATATGAATATATCCATCTTAGTACTTGTTAACTGAAATAGTAAAAGGGCCAATAGCTTATTTTGTTTGTTCGTTTGGCTGAACTAAAATCTTTACAAAATGACGTAATTCGTGACTACATCGCACATGATACAATAAAATCTTATTGGTTAATGTAGATCAATTTAATTCCAGTCGGAATTAAAGTATATCAACTCCGGCCAGAATTAATATTCCTAACTCCGATCAGAATTAATCTTCAGGATAGTGTTCCACAAAATGGAACTGAATACCCGGAATCGAACCGGAACCAGGCCACGGTTCGGTTTCGGATCTATATTTTTCAGATCCGATTATTTTCAGTTCTCAGTAGGCGGATACCTGATGGACCCGCATAAACTCACTTACGTTAATCACCTGATATTTGGCCAATATAATGCTAGATATCAGGTAATTAAGATCTCAAGTTAAAAATGTGCGATACAAAATTTTAAATAAAAAAAAAATTCTGAAAAGACGGTGAACTGGAAATTGTCAAGTCTTTATATTTGATTACAACTTCGAAAAAGTCTGAAAAAACATTGACATCCAAAATTGTACTGTGTAAGTTTAGTTCATGAATTAACTGTTGGCTTTGATTATAGTATTAGTGATATAGACAAGGTCTTACTAATAAAACTTGCAATTTTCAAAAGAGCCTTAATAAAACGCCTAGACAATTGGTGTTTTAAATAATCTTTTACATTGTGAATTAGCCGTGTGTGCTTTAAATAGAACAGATGAGTGTAGACAAAGTCTAATTAACAAATATTCGCATAAAAAAAAGAAAAAGAAAAAAGAAAAGAATAAATAAAAAAGAAAACAAAAGCAAAAGATAAAATAAAAAATAAAAAAAGCCCAGAGAAAATAATCTATAATTGGTATTTTGTGTGGGTTCTACTTCATATATTACTATGGATGATGGTAGGTAGAGCCTGATTAATAAAAAATCTCAAAAAAAAAATTTTTTAATTTTTTTTAAGCTTTTGTAAGGTCGATCTCTCCTACACCATCAATTGAAAATAATGAAACGACTTGCTCAAATAAAATCAGAACCAGCAAGTCAAGTGAATTGACATCTGTGTCATCGGGGCCTGCTACTACCACAAATAATGGGTTATTTGTGTGGCATTACTTTCAAAAAGAAGGATCCTTCGCCAGATGTGATATCTGTGGAAAACCATTGAAATATTCTGATGGATCCACATCAAATCTTAGGAAGCATCTTAAGCTTCGCACTCACAGACATAAAGTTTCAGAACTAAATGATGAAAGGCCTTCTGTCTCTGACTTAGATATGTTGAAAAGTCAACAAAATTGTGAAATATTTGATCAAAATAAACTTAATGATATGGTTAAACGATGGATCATTACACATAATCGACCATTTAATTTGGTTGAGGATGATGGACTTAGATCGATCATAACATATTTAGAACCACAAGCAAGAGGTATGTATATTACAAATAAGTGATACCAGGTGAAAATGGAACCTTGATCATATAAAATTTAAATGATCAGGATCCCATTTTCACTTGGTATCATTCAAATACAAATATATTACCGATTTATTAATTTAAAAAAATATGTATTTATTTAGTACCTTCTGCTGATTTAATTAAGCGACATATAATGAATATTTTTGAAAAAGAACGTGAAATTCTTTATGAAAAACTACAAGAAATTGTAGGAGGTATAGCAGCAACAACAGACATTTGGACAACGAGTACATATGAAAAATCATTCATGATAATTACAATTCATTACCTGGATAAGTCATGGAAAATGAAACATCTATTGTTGGACTTTATTAATATAGATGGACATCATACAGGAATAGTAATCACTAATGCATTTGAAAACTGTATTTGACAAATGGGAATTCTCTCAAAGCTAGTAGCAGTGACACATGACAATGCATCTTCAAATATTAAGTTTTTATTTGAATTTTCAAATTCTGTAGCACAAGTTAGATTTCAGTTTGACTGCACGCAGCAGTCTATTCGATGTTTTGGACATATTCTGAACATTGCTATGCAAAACATGCTTAAATATACAGGAGATGAATTAGAAAAATTACGCATATTAATTAAAAGTATTAGAGGTTCACGAACACTTCGCAAGAAGTTAAAGATGACATGTCAAATACATAACATACCTCAATTGAAACCGATCCTTGATGTGACTACCAGATGAAACTCCACTTGTGAAATGGTTGAACGGGCATTGAAGTTACAAAGCATATTAGATGCTGTTGTTCTTGCTGAGGAAGATTTGTATGAGTATATTCTTACTAAATCTGAATGGAATAAACTAAATCAGCTTGTTAAAATTTTACAACCATTTAAAGAAGCAACAATTGTAATGTCATCTTCAGAATATCTGACATTATCAATGACTGTTCCTCTTTATTATGAATTACTTAAAATGCTTGAAGAATCTAAAAAAAGTAATAATATACCACCATGGCTTGTTCAAGGATGCAAATCAGCGACTGAAAAGCTCTTAAGCTATTGTAAGAAAGCCAATATTTTACATTTTTCAGCTATAGTTTTGGACCTACGATTAAAATTTCAATACTTTGAAAAGCTTGGGTGGCCATTGCAACTTGTTAATCGGATTAAAGAAATGTAAGTATTTGTTATATATATATTATACAACAAATAGATTAATATATAATTTATTATTTTAGTGTTAAAAACAAGTATGAAAGTAGTTACGCGCCTTCTTCTAGTCAAGATATGGTTTACTCATCTGTTGAATCACCTCCAGTAAATATTAAAATGAGAATTTTTAAACGAGCTCGAACAGAACATCAAAGTGAATTAGAGACTTATTTGATGATGCCACTTGTAGATTCAAATAAAAATATTTTAGAATGGTGGCAAGAGAACGAAGGAAATTATCTAAATCTTGCAAAGTTTGCCAGAGATTGTCTTCCAATACCGGCGACTAGTGTTCTAAGTGAGGAAATATTTAGTGTAAGTGGGGATATGATTACTGATAAACAAAATAGATTAGATAATAAAACAGTAAGAACAGCAATGTGCTTAAAATCGTGGTGAAAGGAATTTCAGAATTAAACTTTACGATGTAATAAACATCTTATTAAATAAATATCAAAGATAATAAGTGAATAGCAAAATATTAATTTCATTTTATTTTTTTGTTATTGTTGATTATACAATATCGAAAAATCGTCAATTAAATAATAAAATGTTGCTTAATAAGCTTGTTCATTATGTACTTAGAACAGGTGATATAATTTTTCCAAGCATAAATAATGTAACAATAAATTAATAGAATTAATATTAGTACCGGTTCGGTTCCGGGTTTAATATGATACGGTTCCGGGTCCATATAAGGACTCGACTTTACATGATGGTTCGGGTACGGATCCTAATAAAACCCGCCTGGAACCAGTCCGTGCGGAACACTAGTGGAGCCTGTTGCCGGTAGTGTATTTTCCGTATTAATTATATGTACAGTTTTAGTTCGAATACACTTTGTAAAATGCTACTTTCATGCCTATTAAAAATAGCGGATCCGTTCGAATCTTTTTTACGGAACACTATCTGGTATACATAATTTTGGTAGAATTATTTCGTAACTCTGGTAAACAATTTTGGTAGAATTATTTCGTAAAACTCTGGCAAACATAATTTTGGTAGTTATGATTTTGGTAGAATTAATTCGTAACTCTGGTAAGCATAATTTTGGAGAATTAATTCGTAATTCTGGTAAACATAATTTTAGTAAAATTAATTCGTAATTCTAGCAAACATAGCTGATAGTTTTGGTAGAATTATTTCGTAACTCTGGTAAATATACAGTTGATCGAGATGTCACATGTTAAAATTTTTAATAGTGGATCAAATGATCGATGTGCCTAAGCAAAAATTGCTTCCTGGAGTAGTGTTTCTATAAAGTACATTCGCCAATACCTTCTTTCCTTCTGATCTAAAATTATTCAAAATAAGTTCCAAAAGAAATTAGTATAATGTTCTTGCAATATTTCAATGTATTTCATTATCTGTCTTGATAGTCCAAAGTCTGCGATCACCAGCTGTTTTTGATGAATTAAGACATTCTTCGAATATCAAGATTATTAGAGTATTAGTGAACTAATAAATATAAAGTCTGGGTGTTATTTTTTTAGTAATACGTAGATGGTGTAAAAATATTGTACCGCATAAAAATTTTAATTAGTAATACATACCGATAAATGGCATAATGAAATGCTTAGTAATACTTATTATCGTTATCATATTAGATTAGATTGATAAAAGAAACACATTAGATCATATTAATATTAACGCTAACGTTAATAATAAAAAAATAAAATAAAAAATCCTTAAAAATAAGGGTATTTAGAATCAGAAAGTTTCTTATATATTTATCTGCTCATAAAACAACCAAGAAATTTGGGGTTTCATCTGATACTTTGAGACGTTGGTTAAGGCAGGAAAAAATATCTGCAATAACGTCTCCATCCGGAACTCGTCTTTATGATATTTCTTCTTTCTTACCGGAGTTAATTACTCAAAATGATACCTCAGCCACCTCCGTTACTGAAAAGAAAGGTTTCCTATATGCACGTGTCTCAAGCAGCAAACAAAAAGAAGACCTTGAAAGACAGAAACAGATCCTTAAATCCAGATTCCCGAATTATGAGCTCGTCAATGATGTCGTATCAGTTATCAACTTCAAAAGAAACGGACTTAAGACCTTACTGGAACGATCAAGTAAAGAAATGGTCTCAGAAATTGTGGTTACCCACCGTGACCGACTCTGCAGATTCGCATTTGACCTCATTGAATTTATGTTCTCGTTACACTCTACGAGGCTCGTGGTTCTCTTTGACGAATCAGGCTCCAACGAATATGAATTATCACAAGATATCCTTGCAATCAACACCGTCTTTATCTGTCGAATGCAAGGAAGAAGAGCAGCTATGTACCGAAGAGAGCGAAAAACGATGGAAAATAAAAACAATAAAAACACAAAGCAAAAAAAAACGAAAAGTCGAAACTATTGTGAATCGAACGTTATCAATCAAAACATATCCGAATCATTCTCAGAAAAAAATCTTGAAGAGATGGCTTGGATTGATGAGATATGCTTATAATACTGTTGTTAGATGGAACAAAAATCGTCATTTTTGTAACAGTTCTAAAAATTTTGAACGGATAAAACCTCATACACTCAATGAAAAACTTAAATTATATATAAATGTAAAAGAAGAAAAAGATCTTAATGAAAAAGATAAAAAATTACAGAGGTCATGTGTATGGGGAGAACGTAAATTTCTACGAACAGTTGTATGGTTAGAATTACGTCTTAAAGGTTTACATGATAAAGTACCTGCAAATGTTATTGATGAGAGTATTGATGAAGCTTTGATAGCTAGAAAAAATATAATACAAAAAAATTCAAAAGAAACTAAAAAGTCATTTTTATCATTTAAATCTAAGAAAGATTTATGGCAAACAATGACTATTCGTGCGCAAAACTTTTCAAAGAAAGATTGGAATCATTTTTATGTTAAACATCTTCATAATTCTTCGACTTTATTATCAAAATGATGCAAACCTAACGATTTTGAAGATGGAAAGCGTGACTTGTGCCCATTTCATTTTAAAAAAAAGAGAAAGCATAATAAATGGCCATCCCTACAAGTAGAATATGATTGTAAACTTACGTATATACGTAAAACAAGTGAATGGATATTTTATTGGGTATATGAAGCACAGAAACAAATCCGTGAAACACAAGCGGATGTTCATGTAGTTTCAATTGATCCAGGAGTTCGTACTCATTCACATGGTATTTTTCGACAAAAGGTGTGGGAAAGATAGAAGAATACGATATAGGACGTATTTTTCGTTTATGTAAACACATGGATGACCTAATATCAAAAAAAGACAAATTAGCATCTTCAATCTCAAAACGAAAGAAGAAGAAAGCATTGCGTGTTGACAAAGCCATCTTTCGTATGAAACGAAAGATCAGACGACTTCAGATCGAAATCCATCGAAAAACAATCAAGTTCTTAACAGATGAATTTGATATGATTGTTATTCCCTCTTTTGAGGTTTCAAAATGGTGAACAGAAAAACACGAAAGATAACAAGGAAAATGGTTAGAAAGATGCTTTGTTGGTCTCATTACAAGTTTCGACAATGATTGATTTCAAAAGCAGAAGAGAAAGGAACTCATGTGATAATTCAAAACGAAGCTTATACGTCAAAGACATGTAGTTGGTGTGGAAATATTCAGAATATTGGAGGATCAGAAATGTACAATTGCAAGAATTGTGGAATAAAAATAGACAGAGATGTTAATGACGCCCGAGGGATATTTCTTCAGGCTTTGCTTGATGGAGCTATGATCTTGTCATAAGATATTTTCATGCAGGCAATAGTAACTTTACTTAGTAATACTTAGTATTGATTATTATTGATGTGTTATAATCTATCCGATATTATGGAGAACACCTTATTTTACAGATAGAAGAATCATCAAAAGGTGTCTCTTAGGACTAAATGCCGATGAGCAAGCGCTGATAATTCTGTTTAAAATTAACCTTCCAGAAAATAATCAGACACCATTATTTGAATACAGTATACAAGTTTTATTGCACCTATTTTTTTATACTATATTCGTAACTTGAATAAGTTTTGTTTTAATCACAATGTAAATAAATTGTTAATATAATAGTCATAGAATTATTAAAATAAAATAAACTTTATTCACTATATATCGTTAACTTCGGCTTATATTGTATTGTTAAAAAGAAAAAATTGTAATACGCTAAATACGGGATCAGATTGCAATATCTAATAGTGAATTAAATATCTCGTGTTAAAACATAATGATAATGATAATCATGAAAATCTTGTGTGACCTAGGAAATCCTTTTACATTTCCTAAATGACTACGTATATCAATCACCATTATTTTAATAGCAACCACCATTACTTTAATAGCAACAACATTAACATCTAGGGCTTATATAATTTTTTCGAGAACTGCACCTATTTGTTCATGCCTGCTGATCCTACCAGTTGACAGAAAAAATATCAGAAACTGACAGTAATAATTACTTTTTAAAATACAAAAAAAAATTATGGGATATAAACCATTTCTTAGATTATAGAATAACACGCAGTGACTTCTCATTTGTAAAGCAAACTGAACATATTATTTATAAAAATGGAATTAAAAAATACTTACCGAGAGAATCAATCGAGCAATATTCAAAAGCTTTTGAAGTAATATTTAAAAATCTAATTTTGTTAATGTTTTTTTCTATAGTAATATATTTCATTTTGTAAAAGGATATAAAAGATGATAATTATGATAATAAATAGTTCGCCATCGAAGTATTTAACAACAAAGAAAAAAAAAGACAATATGAAGAGATGATAAAAAAATTGTAAAGCATACACATTACTTCAGGCATTTCTCATCAATCTATTTCTATACATCAGTATAATAGAGCCAATGGTCGTATATTTAATAATATTAAGGTAATAATCAATATAAGTTTTTTTTATATTGGCTAATTAAAAAATTATACGTTTAAATAGGATTTAGAATATCGCATTAATTCCGGACGAAATGTAATAGATTATTTTGAAATCATCTATAAAACATTCAAAAATAAGAAATCACTGTTTAATATATAAGTATTATATATATGTTAAAATTCTAATAATTGTAATAACTGTTGTACGTATTACATATATTTTTTAGTCCAGAAATGTCAAATATTATCGAATGCTCTGATAATTCTCCTTTAAAGAAAATATTAAGAGATGATGAGTGGAAAGAAATTAATGAAGAACATTCATTTCATATTGATGTAGACATTACTATCTCTCATTATTTGAATCAGTTAGCTGATTTTTTATGTGATGATAATAATATCATTAATGATCATGAAATGCTCCATCCATCTGATGATAATTCACGACACATCGAGTTAAAATTCTATTACAAGGCTTTAGTAAAATTGTAGGTTTGTGCTATATAAAATAAGTATTTTTAAAAATTACATAGTTACATAATATTTGTTTATATTTATAGAAGAATTTTATGGAAAACTCTAATTCTATTGCCTGATAGTAATATAAGTGAAGGTCAATACATAGCAGATTATTTGCATGAAATACTTAAATTAAACTTTAAACTAAATAGATATAATCTTTTTTCTTTCCCGTATGTAAGATTATTTTATCTTATTCTTTAATGAATCATAATTAATTTATTTTGTGATATTTATATTTAGTATCGATATTATATCAAATGGATCAAAAGAACGTAAAATTAATGCTAAAAAGAAAAAACTGTACGATGAAAAAAATTAGTCTCCAAATCTGATAGAGGTTGTCGTGTTGATTTAATAATTAGAAACGTATTAAACATGGATCTAGTGGTAATAGAAGTTGTAGGTCTCCCGCATCATAGAAATCATAAGAAAAATCAGTGGGATTTTAGAAGAGGTATTAGAGCTTGTAAAGATTCTTATGAAAAGTTTGTTAATAATCTGACCAAAAAGTATGGCAAATAGATAGACGAAAGTGTTATTTATAACATTTATAGTCAATTAGAAATATATTATGTTCATGTACACGGTTAGTGTAAATAAAATTTTATATTATTATTGTATTTAAATTATAATTAATAATTTTATTTTATATTTTGAACAGGAATGAAATAGTATATTTGGACAGTTGATCATCCCGGTAATCAAGTATATAGAGCAAGACCTTTGTGTGAATTTAACATTCCTTATAAAAAGAAAGATGTTGAAGATATCTACCAATATTTAAGAGTTTTAAATGAATTATGTATAATTATTACTGTTGATTTATTATTACTAAAAATTATATTGATTATTATATTAAAAATTTGAATTATAATTTTTACTATTTAAAAATAGAGGCGTGTCAATATTATCTCAAAGTTCATTGAAGGATTGTATGAATACTTAAAGCAAAAGGCATGAAACAATCCATATATAATACAAGACACCGAATTCGCCAAAATATTGTTAGATGGATGTGCAATTACAAACCTACTCCTTCAAGTAGCCCAAAAGACAATTCAAGTAGCACGTCATCAGAACATGTAGAAGAAATCTTATCTTCATTCATAGAAGAAAACGTTGAGGAACTATCAGATTCAGAAAATGGTTGGGACACGCCTGAAAATTCTGACTACGAACTAGAGTAATATTTTATTTATAAATTGATTCATTCATGAAAATATAATTGTCTTAGCATTTATTTGAAATGAATTAATTCATTCATGGAAATGTAATTGAACTTGCAAAAGCATTTACATTTACTTGCAAATGAATCAATTCATTCATAAAAATGTAGTGACTTAGTATCTGATACAAATAATATTGCAACGAATTAATTCGTTCATGGAAATGTAATCAGACTTTCAAAAGTGTTTACATTTACTTGCAAATAAATTAATTCGTTCATGTTAATGTAAATAGCATTTATATTTATCTTTAATAAATTTAATATATTGTATTGGTGATAAAGTGTAGGAATCTATTTAAAGAATATCTTAATTTACCAAATTAGAGAAGCAAAACGTTCTTAGTTTCTTTTCTTTTACCTTATGAAACGTTCACTACTTAAAATTTTATTTCTGGTCGTGAGCTTACTAAGCCGGCTGAGAATGTGAGCCTACTGAGTCGTTCTCAACTTTTTCTTTTGAGTTTATTTTTAAGTTTGCTTAATTTTGTTCCCTTCGGCTCTTAATGATGACAAATGACTAACTGTCACCTTTTTTGAAGTATTCTGAAAAAGCGTTTCTTGCAAATAATTTTAGCTTGAAAATATTGTAATTAAAAAAAATTTTGAAAATTAATAATTAATAAAATTTAGTACTAAAAACTTTCATTAAAATATTAACATCATTGCCAATTTTGATGATTTAAAGATTATAAAAGTCAGTCATTAGATATTGATTCGAATGATGAGTGAATATACAGCTGCACTTGGAGATCTAAATAGAGCATTAGAAACTAACCAAATAATGTTCATAACTTTAAATAATCGTGTGCAACCTACTGTATTTCTTAATTATACAATATGAAATTTCTATTGCAGATTTTACAAAATCGTTGGAAATTAATCCAAGTGCAGAAATATATTATTTTCGTGCAATATCGTATAACAAAATGGGTGATACTGAAAATTCAACTAAAGATTTAATAAAGTCATTAGAACTATGAATTAACAAAGGAACTACTACAAAAAATGTTATTTAAATAAGTATATTCAATAAATTTACTTGCATAGGAATAGAGGTTGGAACCGGTTTTAATAATTCAGGTTTATCACGTAAATTTTGTGATATTTTAGAATTTATTAAAATTTAATTGGGTTAAATTCTAAAATATCACAAAATTCACGTGATAAACTTGAATTATTAAAACTGGTTCCAACCTCTACATAGGAAATATAACTGGTTCTACATTATTTTGTTTAAATATACTGCTTAATATCTTTTCAGTTGAATAAATTTAGTTTGAAAATAAATAATAATATTGATTTTTAACATTTTTGAAAACTACATTACATTTTTGCGATAGCAACAAAATATCCTAGATCGAGTAAATTATTAATAATATAGGACGCTAAGAGGAAATTTTCAGCACTAATTTAGTTTCTTATTAGCACTATTAACGAGGTTTTTAACGGAGTGCGAAAAATTAGTAATTGTCGCACTCCGTCAAAAACCTCGTTAATAGTGCTAATAAGAAACTAAATTAGTGCTTTACTATGAAAATTTCCTCTTAGCGTCCAATATTTAATTTACTCGATCTGGGATATTTTGTTGCTGTCGCAAAAATGTAAGATTTCAGTAATGTATTTCTTTTTGATTTATTTGTCGATTTCAAATATACTGTAGCTAAGCCTAAACTTTTGGGATTGTATATCTTATAATTTTAAATAAAAATAAATAAATTAAATCTTTTTAATATTTTTATATAGAATTATTTAAATTCATAACTTTTGATCAATAAATAGTAATGTTATATAAAAATTAGTACTTAACTTAATGCTATAACTCTTTTTACATAATAAGCTTATATAAATTTTTTAGACTTTTTTTAAATTATTACACCAAGCTACTTGTGTAGTAGCACTAAATTAAAAAAATTATACAAAATAGTTATATAGATACTCAAGTATAATATATGTTTGATTGCTTATTAATATGTAAAAATTTGAGTTATTGTATTTAAGATATGTCAGGATGGTGTATCACGCTTAATGAAATTACCAATAGTGTATTTATTTTATTAGTGAGTAATCGTCATTAAATAATATAATACAGTAATTGACTACGTAATGAAAAATTACCAAGCAAAAAAATGATACAAAGAGTGGAAATTATTTTTTTTTCTCTTTAACTTTGTTACTAGATATGCTAAAATATTCTATTAGAAGGTTATTTATCGTTATATTATAATCATTATTAATTAATTTCATGTAATGTATATTAATGTAAACCATGTTTTAAAGACAACGACGAATAATTTTTCATGGTAAAGAAGTTTTGGAGGATTTACCGGTAAATTACGCATTTCAAAATAAGCCCCAAATAATGAACCAGGAGTTAGGTAAATTATTTAATTTATATATTTTTGATAATATATATAATATTTAGCAGTTGTTTTACTTAGAACGCGTAAATCAAGATCCCGTTGAAGTTAATCAAAATAAGGAGGATAATATTAACATTCGCATTAGAGGAAAAGCAAAA